GCTGCGCGTCCAGCTGCGTCCAGCTGCGTCCAGCTCCTCCTATTGGCTAATCGAGCTTTGGAACCAACGTCTCTGCACCAGACCTTGTGGGGCGTTTAGGTAACTCTGACCACAATCATTGCAAGAACAGCTAGAATTTGAGCATTTCCAGACACTTTACAGATCTGCTTCCTGGAAATGGAGACTAGAAGAAGATCTTCCTGTTGGTGATATCACAGCAAGAAAATAACGAAGGAGACGCCGACATGATCAGAGCAAAATATGTTATTTTCTTAAGTGATAAGTAATTCTGTTTCAGTTTTTCAATCAATATTTCAGAGCTGCAATATAGTGACCAGAAGTTAAACCTTCAGTTTAAGAACAAGTTATCTTTTGTTTTATTCCAATGTATAAAGGTTTCGTTCTGCAGTTATGATGGTTATAAATAGTTCAGTGTTTCCACTTCACTTCAGGTACAACATTAATAACTCTGTCAATATCGCATTTGACACTGTAATGATACTTAATGTCGTCTTCATAACTTGTGGATGAGGAATTATTAATGACTTATTACATCATTTGACAGTGTAATAAAGCTTAATGAAATCTTTTCTGTTGCTCCATCTTGTTCCACTTTATTTCAGGTAGAGAAAATATTCATTACTGTTACGGCTTTTGACAGTGTAATAACATTTAATGACATTATTATAACATATTTATGACATGATGATTCTTGGTTAGTCAAGTTGTCATAAAGACATTTTGAATAAAGTCAACTGTGTATTAAAAGTGTCATGATTTATTGAATATGACGACAGTTATAACTATGAAGTTATAACTGTTACTCATGTTATAACTGATGTCACGTCAGTTTTATTCACAACCCGTCAAATCAAGTGTTGCCTAATTTTTTCATAGCTTATCTCTCATACCATACTGCCACAACAAAATGACAGTTTGAACAAATATGGAAAAAAGATATTTTTTTAATAAAAGTGACAAACTGCAGCTTTAATTTCCCTCAGCAGAGGAAAGACGGCTGCTGCTGTTCAGAGGTAAAATGTTAAATATATCAATATGTTGGTCTTTTTTTTCTTTTGTTCATTAAATGTTAGTGAAACAGAGGCTAACACTCTGTAGCTAAGCTAACTATGTTAAATGGTTGATAATCTCACACAGTCCTCTCTTGGAGGAAAAGACTGCAATAAACTGACTCTTATCTTTTGTTTCTCCGTCTCTATATTTGTGTGAACCTGACCAAATGAACCTTGACCTCAGCAGCACAGTAACAGCCGCAGTCGTTCTTGTTTTGATCTGAACATCAAGCAGGAAGGAACCATTTCATGCAGATCCAGGAGCTTCAGGGCAAATATGCTTGTGTGCTTTTCATTCTGCTTTTTACTGCTATCAACAATTTGAAACACAATGTGATTAATTTTTAACCCTTGGAATTGTTCCAACTTTTCTCCCTATACGAAACCCCTGATGGCAAACCATGAGGTAACTAATAACCCTAACCCTAACTAATACTAAAAACCTCTTTTTAAACCTGATCTGACGTGACGATGGACCAGACCCAGAACCTGGCTGGACAGGACCATTTGGACCTGGGTGAAAAGAGGACTGGAGCGGCGCCAGCGGTGGCGCTGCTGAAACCTCCTACTGAACCGAGTCCTGGAGCAGGAGGGTCTGCTGGTGGTGCAACAGAACTATCTAGAAGTCTCTGTACTCCTCAGGCGCTGGGAGCACAGCTGCCACCCTCACACACAAAACCCAAAGTTTCTGTGAAAATAAGAATAAGCAGACAATCTGACACCAGTCCACTCATCTGGCTCCAGCCACCACTGGACACTGACAGAACCAGTTCAACTCCCATTAGAATGTAACTGGGTCCTCATGCAGACCAGTGATGGGATGGAAATGATCAGATTCACAAACTGGCCACCAGGGGGCATCAGTAGTGGAGTGATACTCTCTGCAAGCAGCTACTGGAGCATCTGACAGTCAGAGGGAAAGTCAACATGCACAGAGGATGAGCATTAGCAGCACTGATGGAGGCACACAGGGGTCATGGGTCACGGGGAGGACGGGGTCTGCATGAGGGCGGGTGGAGGAGACGGATGTCCCAGTGAACAGCTGTTAGAATCATTGCATCAGTGAGGATGCCCAGTCCCTGTGAGATCTTTGGATGTTGGACTGTTTCCAACACGGGTGGATTGGATCTTTGGGGTTCCTCAACGACCCAATGGTTCCAGCATCGGGGCAGCCGTCACTGGTTTTCCTTTACTGGCAGTCAGTAGACAGGAAATGGGGAGAGACACAAAGAGGGAAGCATGCAGCAACGTTCACACAGTCAGCAACTCTAGAGCGATAGCCTCCACTTACGGGGTACCCACTACGATCCTGCTACTGGAAACCAGATCCCTTCTGCTGGTTGCCATGTAAATCCACTCTTTCCAGTTCTGTCACTAGTCTGCATAAGAACCCAGTTCCATGCTGGTACGTTGGTGCTGACTAGTGGGTGTGATGCTGGTTTCCCCCATTAACACCCATGCTACCAGCACTAACCCCAACCCAATGTCTTCCAGGAACCGTCCCCTGAATCAGACACAGAGGTTGTCCTGGAGACTGGTGTGCAATACAGATAAACAAACAGGCCTGGTGGAGCTAGGCTAGCAGAGTGCTAACAGAGGTGCTAGCTAAACCTGAATCTACAACAGAAACACAGAAAACCAGGAAGGCATCTTACCTCATTGAGCTGTCCAATCAGCATGGAGGGATCAGGGAGACAAGAGTAATGAGTGGGGCGGCCGTCTCACCGCACTCCATCAACCAATCATCACTCGCTTCAACCATCAACCAATCATCACTCGCTTCAACCATCAACCAATCATCACTCGCTTCAACCATCAACCAATCATCACTCGCTTCAACCATCAACCAATCATCACTCGCTTCAACCATCAACCAATCATCACTCGCTTCAACCATCAACCAATCATCACTCGCTTCAACCATCAACCAATCATCACTCGCTTCAACCATCAACCAATCATCACTCACTTCAACCATCAACCAATCATCACTCACTTCACAGAATGGCTCTGAAAATCTGGGCGAAAAGTCGGATTTCACTTGAGACTGAGACATCCGGCCCGTCACAAGACATCTTCACAAGACTCTGGTTCTGTTCGTCTCACAAGACGAACAGAACCAGAGTAGTGTATCCAACGTTGAGGCCCCACTGAGGGTTAGGATCCTTGAGCTCGGTCCGATCCTGACGCAGACCTTCTAGTCCACCGTGGATGAAGATCTCGGTACTCTTCATCAGGAGCCCACCGACACAAAGTCCGCGGGCCTGGTACCGGACCTGTGGTTGTGCTAGGGGCTCATCTGGGACCCTGTCCTGACCCGTCTGATGGGTCCCTTTTTACCTGTACTGCTATGAACCCAGAGGAATCCAGAACCAGTCCTGTTCTCCACAGCCTGGATCATTGCTGCAGCCATGCTTCCTTTCCTGGTTCTGGTTCTAAAACCGGTTTGGGTCCAGCTTTTGGTTCTGAAGATTGGAGCAGACGTCTTGTTGCCTTTGAATCGGACCTGAGCTCAGTTTATGCAATGAATATACCCTGATTTGGATCAGAACCAGCTCACAGCACCTACTGGTGTGGACACACGTGAATTGGAAGCTATTCTGGCTAGAGACCGGGTCAGAACAGAACCAGAACAGAACCAGAACAAAACCATAACAGAACCAGAACAAAACTATAACAGAACCAGAACAGAACCAGAACAGAACCAGAACAAAACCAGAACAAAACCAGAACAGAACCAGAACAGAACCAGAACAAAACCAGAACAGAACCAGAACAAAACCAGAACAGAACCAGAACAAAACCAGAACAGAACCAGAACAGAACCAGAACAAAACCAGAACAGAACCAGAACAAAACCAGAACAGAACCAGAACAGAACTCCTTTCTGATAACTTTCTCCAAATGGAGAGTGAAAACTCTGAGTGTGTATTCAGTATGTATAATGGATCAGCCCTGAGGGCAGCCCGCAAGCACACTGCTCTGACACACACACACACACACACACACACACACACACACACACACACACACACACACACACACACACACACACACACACACACACACACACTAAGCCATTCCTGCTTGGGCCCATTAGCTCCAGGGAAGATCTATAATGTATGTCTGTGTGTGTGTGTGTTCAGGTAAGTAACATCCATTAGTAAGTTTCTCCTGTTAAAATGGATAAAACACACACACACAACACACACACACACACACACACACACACACACACACACACACACACACACACACACACACAGATGTTGAGAAGCTCCAACCTGAAGCTTTTACAGAACATTATTGGAAGGATTTTCTGTGGTTTCTGTTTTTACTGCACCTCCTCCAGAACCTCCAGAACCTCCAGACTAATCATCACTGATGACCTTCCTCTCAGCAGATGATCAGATCATTCAGGGAGGACTCTGATTGGTTCTTGGACTGGTGACGGATTGATATTGTTGATCGATGATCGGATCAGCCAATCAGAAACTGTCGGTCTTGGACAGAGAGGATCTAGTTTGTTCAGAGCAGAACTAGAACTGGACTCCATGGACTCACAAGGTGTGGTCTGCAGCCAGGGAACCCAGAGGACTGAGAATGGACCGGACCAGAACTGAAGCTGGACCTAAATGTCAGAGAGGGCTCAAAACCAGACCTGAGCAATGGATGCATGGTGGCAGGGTGTGAACCTGGGCCGGTCCATTAGACGCCCTGGGTCGGTTCTGGTTCCCCTGCCGACCCTGGCCTCAGGCTCCTTTACACAAGCATCTTCCTTTAGTTTTAGTTCTATGAGGAGTGATGGTAAACTAGGAGAACCGGAGCAGGTTTTGGTTCTGACTCTGGTTTAGGAACCGTTCCACCAGGGCCAAGCAGAGCCCCACCGGTTCTGATCCGTTTGAGGTCAGCTGTTCATGTTCTCACCTCGTACTCCTCCTTGAACCCGTAGCCCTCGGCACACTTCATCTGGGTGATATGCTGCAGCAGGTCGGCGACCCGGATGGCCGGGTGCAGCTGACCCGTCTGGTAGGGCAGCGCTTCCCGCTCCGCCTCCCGCTGCTTGTAGTGGGACTGGACCAGGCTGCTGGTTTCACTGGTCATGGTGTGGCTGCTGTCGTCTGCAGAGGAACAGAAGACGGGCGGATCAGACTGGGGATAACAGGACACCGTAGGCATGTATGGACCGGACCAAGCTGACCCAGATAGAACCAGAATCTGTTCTTTTCTAATGATCCAGCAGAACTAGACGGTTCAGTCTGAAGGCCGGGTACTGAAGATGATCTGAGACACAAAATCTGATGCTGAAGCTTTGTTCTGGACAGACTCTGATTGGGTGAACATTGATGGAGTCTGTTCCGCACAGAACCAGGAGAACCTCTAGAGGTCCATCCGCTCCTGAGAAGACATCTCTACTGACTGGACTTTCCTTCAGGAGACACAAACCACATGTCCTCTCCACAGAAAGACCTCAGAGCTTCACTTCCAGGACCAACAACCCTGCAGGACCTGGAGAACCTTCGGGTTTCGTTCCAGACTGGATCACCCTGAGACTCACCTCTCTGTGACTCCTGATCACTTGACGGCTTTGGTCCAGACCATCAAACCCTCCAGGAGGTCCTGAAGCTGGCTCATCTACACCAACCTTCTCAGTTTCCCAGATAGTCAGAATCTGACTGCAGTCTCTCATCCTGCCTACAAAGAGAGGCCTACCCTAATCCCTAATCCTAATCCCTAATCCCAAACCCTGTAGGTCCTGTTCAAACCCTGATGCTCCTTCTGGACCACAGAGTTTCTCTAATGACTTTGTCTGTTGCTGTTTTTCCTACCAAGAAGCTTCAAACTGTTCTCCTTTGTGGTTGTGACTGAAGCCTGAGTTTCTGAATTTGTTTTATTTCCAAACCAATTTGGGGTGTGTTTCCCACATCTGGGTCAGGTAGACTCGGTTCTACTGGAACCAGAACTTCAGCTGCTGTGCTTCTCTTTTCTCTGTTCTGTCAAGCTCCTTTGTTCTGTGAGAAACCTTCCACGTGTTAAATGGTCTGATTAGAGAGTCAAATGTGGTCTGGTTAAAGTATGGAGCGAGTGAGCTTCATTTAGAGAAACCAGTCTGCGCTGAGTCTGTCCAGAACCAAGGTCTGGTCCACATCCACTCCTACAAGACTGTTACCACGACAACACAGATGAATGACATCACATGACATCATATTACATGTCTCCTGGAGATGATGATGATGGACCCTTTTCACACTGCGGCCAAAGATCCCAGCTTTAGTCCCAGTAAGGGTACTGGTCTACATCCGGTCCAGATCCGGTATGGTCCAGTACAAAGAGTAAAACTGGACCAGTCCAGAACGGCCTGGTTCTGCCTGTGTGAACCGGTCCAGAACAGTTTGGGTTCTTGGAGCGGCAGTGTGAACAGAGCGGCGTTCAGAGTCCTGGAAAAGAACAAACCTTGGTCGTAAAGTGGACCTCAGAGCTAACCCCGTCCAGAGCTCTGGCAGGAACGTTTCAGCAGAGACACGGCGGACACAGCTGCCACTACACTCTCTAGCTGTTCTTATTGGCTAGCCTGGGGGCTGACTGACCAATCAGAAGCTCTCTACCTGAACAGTTCAACCAGCCAAGGTGAGGAAGATGGACCAGGTGATGGAGGTGGTGGCTGGTGATTGAATGGATCAAACAACCAATCAGAAGACATCAAATGAGCTGATTGATTAAATACAGAATGATGGGAGGGGCTTGGGTTGTGACATCATGACAGGGTACAAATGAAGCTCTGCCATACTAATGATGACATCACAGCAGGTAATGGGTGTGGCTCCATGCGAAGTGGTGACACCCCCAAACACGAGCCCCCCTACTCAGCCCCAAGTTCAACCACTTACCATTAATGGGCACTTTACACAGAGACGGAAAGAAGAGAAGAAGAACAGAGGAGACACGAGATGAGAGCAACAACTTTAGCTTTTAGCTAGCTGGTAACACAGCTAGTACCACACACTGCCCAGTACCCTGAGCCCTTCTAACAGAGGATAGCTAACTCCGATCTAGCTAACCTAGCTGACCTGAGTAACCTAGCCAATCTAGCTGACTTTCCTAACTTAGGTAACATGACCAACCTAGCTAACCAGGCTAATGTCCTGTTCCTCGGATTTCTGCTCCTCTAGCTAGCTAAGCAGAGTTTCTATTGCCTGCATGTACACTGACGTATCCGAGATTTTAGCTGAGGCATATTGGGGCTATTTTAGGTCAGAGAGGAGTATTTTGTTTTCAACAGGAAATAGGAGACATTAATTGCTACTAAGAAATGTCTTTGAGCGTTGTCCATCAGAGGACCCTTATTGTCTGGATGAAACTGATCACAGGACTTCCCAGATGCTGGAGGACCCCTCACACTGAACAAAGACCCTTATGGGGCACTAGAATCATCCAGAGCACTTGGTGGTTTCTGGAGCGTATGCAAAGCAGGACGCTCCTCCGCTAGTTTACTGGAGCATGAAAGACCATAGAAGATTGCATACTGAAAGCTTCAGTTTGGGGTCCTGCTTGGAAATCGGTGCTGGCAACGTCTCCATGAAGTGGGTCGAATAATGACTCAACAGGCTAGGAGGACTCTGGATGTCCTGAAGGTGTTTGGGATGTTTGGCTGGGGCCAATGGGAGTTCCATCTGATTAAACACAGTGCGATCATGGTGGACAGTGAAAGCCATGGTTTCTGTTCAAACTATCGCTGTGTCCTGGACTGAAGCTATGAACGTGTAGAGCCAACTACTGACAGACTCCTGTGGTAACTAGAGGTTCTTTAAATCAGACAAGTCAAACAGAAAGACTGGTCAAAACTCAAACCGAGTGCTGACATTTGCTAGAAAATATCACAGGTTAGTGAGCGCCATTAGTTTATTATTCTCAGTTTATTCAGATTTTACGCTGAAGATGAGTAAGTAAAAAAGCTCCCGTGTTATTCCCACTCCCAAAGTCCACCAGAGCGTGTTGTGTCCATGCAAAGGTTGAAGGTCACAAACAGACGTGACGTCAACACGACACGCAGGAATGTTGTGGATGTGGGGATGGAGTGAAGCCCACCATCGTTTTAATCACCAAACAAGAAAACGGGGTGAAAACCAAGGAGCTAGAAAAAATGATTCTGAATTGCAAATAAAACAAAACGAAACAAACTGAGTCTATTCAACCAAAGAAAAACATGAAGGAATTTAATTCAAGTTCAAAAGTAAAAGCACAACTGTTGGAGAAAAAAACAGTAAAGATGGCAGAACTGAAATCAAATAAACAGAAGAAAAACTAAACAAAAGCAGCTGAACAATCAAGCATGAATGGATGGAAGCCAGAGAATCCCTGTCTCTCTTTCTGTCCGTCCTCTCCCTTCACCTGCCGGTCCACTTCCTGTCTGTCTGTCTGCCTGTCTTCTTCTGGTCTGTCTACACTAAACCTGAACTTTAACCTCCTGCAGAGAAAACAAGGAAGAGAGTCTCACCCAAGATGGCTGTCGGTACGAATGGTTCTACCATCAGGACACAAGAGCAGCAGACAGACAGAGAGAAAGACAGGACAAAGAGACGAGTCAGTGGACCACAGCGCTACTGAGCGTCGTGGGTCTGGCTGGTGGCCGAATCGCAGAGGAATTTCAGTAAATTCAGCTGAAAGTTCATCATTTTCACCGATGAGTCATAAAACTGCACCGAATGACGGCTCTGCTGCCGTCTGTCAGTATGATGCATTCACTGTCAGTAGTATGATGCATTCACTGTCAGTATGATGCATTCACTGTCAATACGTCTTGCTATGAAGATTACCTTGGTAGTAGGAGTTGGGGACGGAGGTGCTGATGGTGTTTGTCTTCAGGGTGAAAGAAGACGGAGACGACATGGCTGCAAAAACAGAGCAGAATTTATGAACACCATGACCCCGCCCACATGATGATGCCGCTATAGCGTGACTCCGCCCACATGACTCCGCCTACAGGATGTTGACATGAGCGCTTCAGATCATGTCCCCATCTGTCCACCAAGCTTCTGGTCAGACTTATGCCCATTGGACAGAGTGCGTGTGTATGCGTGTGTGTGTGCATGTGTGTGTGTGTGGACTCACTGCGGCCGTTCAGAGTGTGTGTGTCCACCATGGCTGTGTGTTGGGAGCTGTTCACCATCAGAGTCATTTCCTGTCTGGAGCTCAGCGTTTCCTTCCTTTTCTTGGCCAACTTCCTGCAGACAAAGGCGATAGGGCTGACATGAGTCTCTGTTGAGACCCAGATGGACCCAGATGGACCCAGATGGACCCAGATGGACCACTACATGAGGATCCATCAGATCAGCCAAAACCAACTGAGCCCTTGGAACCACTAACTCTGGACTCTTCCACCAGAGGGAGCTGTTTGGACTTGATGTTCAATAAATGTGAGCTGATCAGTAAATAAAGAGAGAAATGTCACTAAAATAAGCCTCGAACAGAATCCAGCTTCATTAGACCCAGTCGAGCCAGAAGGACCAGTAGAAACAATTAGGACCAGTAGACCCCTTAGGGTCCATTTATTACTCATTAGTTCTACTTATCTAATTAGAATAGTAGAACCAGTTGGATCCAGATTAAATCAAACTAAAATCAGGAAAAAGTCAAGCAGCACAGCAGAACTTAATGGTTCTAATGTGATTCTGATCTGGTTCGGTCCAGTTGAATCAGCCGCTCTGTGGGTGTGTTAATGTGGAATGTTCTGGATAAGCGGTGAGTAGAACCCAGCCTGCTTTTCTGTGTCTGTCATCAACAATCGGGCTTCATGGATTCTCTTTAGCAGAACCAAACCCAGATGGGTTCCAGGTTCTGTGAAATGTTCTGAAGAGCAACAACTCAGTTTGGATTGAACCGATTGCAGTCTGGTACTCCAAGGAGGGTTCTCCTGGTGGATCTGGTGGACCTCTCCAGGTTCTGGTGGTTCTGATGGACCTGAAGAAGCTGCCTCCCTTTAACTCTGTTCGGTGTTGCAGAGCCGCTGCAGATGAAAGCATGTTTCCTCGTCCTGCCTTCTCTCTGCTTGTTTCTCTCTTTCTATTCTAAGGAAAGAAAATCCATTTGTCCGATTGCTCACAGAATTTAACCCCGACCTGAGAGCAGATATAGAAATAGCAGAGCAGGCTTTTAAAGACGCAGCACGGCGTGTGTGCCGTGTCAACATGGAGGACGCTGAAAGAACCCCCAGGCAAGGCGCTGCCCTTCACCCCCTCATGTCTCACTTGCTCTTCTTCTCTGATTCAGAGCCCAACACAAAACAGCAACAACAGCTCTTCGTTTGCTCCTCTCCCAAAACACCAGCAGGCGCATCGGCCTGCTGCCGCGGCTCAGAGACAATCCACACAAAGACATCTGATAAAAAACACCAACGCAATGAAGCACAGAGGCTCTGACACCTGAGATCAGGCTAAACCCAGGGAGAGCTGGATGGAGCTGATGGACACCATCGTGTGATTGTTTCCCGGGTTGTCCAGACTCGCGGATTTAGTGGTTTCTCACTTTAGCAGATGCTGATCCCCGGGCAGTCGCTGAAACCAGAACCAAGAACCTGGGCTGGAGGTCAGAGGCTCGGAACCAGGAGGTGGAGCTGAGACCAGGAGACGATGGGACAGTGTCCAACATGACCTTGGCGTTGCATCCTGGGTCTGGAATAGGTGTCTCTCTGTGCTGATGGTACCTCCATGTTTCCGCTCAAGCTAGCAGAAAGTCCTTCAGATCCACGTGTGCGTGTGGTTCTGAACCGGTTCTGATCATGAGACTCCTAAAGCAGCTAGCAGCTCAGAATGAAGCAAACACTTCTGCCCTCCAGCAGCTGCATCCTCCTGACCACCAGGAGGCAGTGTTCCCTGCTAACAGCCCCAGGATTTCTGCACATAGACATGAATACGCAGATGACATATTGAGCGCTGAGTCCTATCGTGTGTGGCTGTAGAGCGATGGAGCTCCCCAAGCCCTGTGGACTTGTTTCAACCGTTTAACAATTCAAACTGGGTTCACTGGCTTTACCTTTCACAGGTAAGGATGACAGAGCAGAATTACTTGACTTTGCAGCCAGAAATATTCCCTATGTAGCCAAACTGGTCCGAAGTTATGGAAGTAAATATGTGCCATCAGGATTTGAATAAAAAATGCCTCTGAATTTTCAACGTAAAAAAATTCAGTGATAAAAAATTCACTGTTAAAAATTCAACGTCTAAAAAATTCACTGTTAAAAATTCAACGTCTAAAAATTCGCTGTTAAAAATTCAACGTCTAAAAATTCGCTGTTAAAAATGGCAAGGTTACTTCAGGTCACAGACATGCGCAATGGACGTCAGATTCCAACACCCAGCCAATCACAAGACGCCACGTCATAGAGAAAATACCAGCATCACGGAGGCTGGCGACTATGGAGGCGAACGCTAACCCAAAGGTGAGTTTAATGCTTCATATTTCTGTAGTACATTTCATTTTGCGCCTGAGGTTTGATACATTATCTTAAAGCTCGATTTAAAACACGGGTTTGGTCCGTTAGGGTTAGGGTTAGCTGAGTGACTCTCAGCCCTGAGAGTGTTGCTTAGGTCACACTAAAGTGACCTAAGCAACACAAATGTAACCTTTGCTTCTAGGGATCAATAGAAATATTTTCAAACCTGCGATGTGACCTGAGGTCATCAGTCAGGAAGGATTTCTTGATGGATTCCATGTAACCGGAAAACATGCTTGACGAATAGCTGCGCTGTTTGACAGGCTGTGGAGTTTCCTGAAAGGGATCAGATGGCAGGTCTTGGAAAAACGGTCAATAATTGTGAAAATAATGGTCATAGCTCTTGAGACGGGAAATCTAGTAACGAAGTCGATTGCGATATGTGACCAGGGTCGATTTGGTATCTTCGCCTAAAAAGACAACGTGTATGGATTACTGCTGATACACCTACTGTCTAAAAAAATCACACACTTTCACGCGTTTTGCTGTGAGGACCTTCACACACAGTCAATGAATTCATGGACACACAGTTGGAGAAGCTGGTCTTCTTCAATCTCCAGCTGAAGAAGACCAGCTGGGGGTGATGAGATGACTTATGAGCACAGGTAGAAAAGGTAAGTACGTATTCCTTTACGTCCCTGTGAACAGATGGCCACCAGAAACGACGATTAATTAAGGCTACGGTGCGTCTTGTACTGGGATAAGCAGAGAACTTGGCGGTGTGAATCCAATGGATGAGATGGGCTCGGACAGAGGGAGGAACTTTTCTGAAGCGTCCACTTCAACAATAAGCTAGTTGTTGGGGTCAGGTTGGATGAGAACCGGAGCAAGTGTAAAGAGAATTGAGATGGAGAAATGCCGTGTCAGCTTCAGCTGACCATTTGAAGGGAGTTTTGGTGGATGTCAGAGATGTGAGAGGCAGTGCTCTTTGGCTGTAGTCACGTATAAAACGTTGGTAAAAATTGGCAAACACCAGAAATCTCTAACTGTTTGCAAGTCCGAGGAACCGGCCAATCCAATACTGCTTGTATCTTTTCTGAAGTAGGCCTTACCCGTCCATCCTCAAGGATGAAACCCAGGAGTTACAGATGGCTGATGGAACTCACATTTCTCAGCTTTTGCATAGAGTTTGTTTTCAAGGAGGTGTTGTAGAACCAGATGGACATGTTTCTTGTGTCCTGTGATATTTTTGAATAGATGACAATATCATCCAAATAGACGAATACGAAAATGTTTAAGAAGTCTCGGAGAACATCATTAACCAGGGCTTGAAAAAATGTTGCAGTGTTGGAGAGAGCGAACGGCATGACCAAGTATTCAAAGTAAGCTGTGTGAGTTTAGAATGTGGTTTTCCACTCATCCCCCTGGCGGATGCGGAGCAGGTGGTAAGCGTTGTGTAAGTCGAGCTTTGAAAAAACAGTTGCACCACGAACAGCTTCTAATGCTGAAGAAAGAAGAGGTAAGGGATATTTATTCTTAATGGTTATTTAATTTAGACCTCTATAATCAATACAAGGTCTGAAGGAGCCATCTTTCTTCCCCACAAAAAAGAGCTGCGCCCCTAAGGGAGAAGAGGAAGGATGGATGATGCCAGGGAATCCTTGATTCTTCCATTGCCTCATGTTCAGGTCATGAAATGTTATGTAGGCGACACGAAGGTAATGGAGCGCCAGGCAGAAGGTCGATTGTGCAGTAAGGGCGACGGGGTGGAAGTGAGAGAGCCTTTGATTTGCTGAAGACGGGAGCCAGATAGTGATAATCGGGGGGATGAGATTTAAATCAGGTGGATCAGTCTCCTGATGAACGGCAGGTGGTGGACTTGGTGGAACTGCAGAGCGGAGACAAGAAGAATGACATTCGTGTGACCAAGATTCGAAGTGCAGCTCAGAGCAGTTGATGTGGGGATTATGTTTTTGCAACCCACATAAACTTAGAACTAAGGAAGAATTAATTGTGGGGAAAATGTAGAATGAGATCAGTTCCCAATGATTGCTGGAAATAAGTAACTGTAGCGGTTTAGTCATGTGAGTGATTTAGCCAAAGATTTACCATCCAAGGCGGTTATGCAGAGAAGAGTCAGGAGTTGAATAGTTTCGAGTGACATCTGCTATACAATGGCTGAATCAATGAGACTGTTCGCAATCCGAATCAAGCAACACAGACAGACTGAGGCAATGGTTGTTGAATAGTGTCGCGGGGAGAAGTCGAGGAGAAGTCTGGTCTTTTCTCAACTGGCCTGCCAGCCTCCTCCTTTCTACTGGTGGGCTGGGGACAAGTGATGAAGTGGCCAGAGGATCCACAATCCAGGCACAAGAGAGAATTCATTCTTTTCTGTCGCTCTTCCAGTGACCACCGGGTACGACCGGTCTGCATAGATCCAGGATGTGACTGAGTCTGTGAAGGAGAGGGCAGTTGAGAAGAAGATGGACCAGGAGAGAAGGTAACTTTAACTGACGGACTCCTTATAGTTTTGTCTTAATTTCTTTCTCTATTTCGAATAGCAACTGAGACAAGTTGGTTCAGTGTGCTAATTCGTCTTTAAGAGAATTGTTAAGGGCGTGGAAAAACATGCTCTTTAAAGTGGATTCGTTCCACCCGAATGCTGAAATGCACTGCAAAATCTGCCACAGATCTCTGTCCCTGTTTTATTGTCAAAAAGTTTCCTGTATTCAGGGTGTGCTGTGGTGGCAGAGGGGTCAGCACGCCCCACGTCTGGAGGCCTCAGTCCTCGACGCGGACGTCGTGGGTTCGACTCCCGGTCCCGGCGACATTTGCCGCATGTCTTCCCCCCTCTCCTCGCCCTCTTTCCTGTCTGCCTGCTGTTGAAAGTACGAGCCACTAGCGCCACAAAAACTCTTTGGAGAAAAAAAACGATAAAAAAAGTTTCTTGTATTTAATGTCTTGTCTGACTTTTGACTGAATGTCTGCTTGAATTCAGTGAGGAATTCATCAAAGGTGCAGCTAAAACCTGACGGATCTTTAAATCTGTCTTCAGTCCATTCAAGAGTCATTTCTGTCAGGAAATTATACAATAAATCTTAGCACCATAATAAAAGAAACTATAAGGTGAGTGATTGAATGCAAGGGAGCATTGTAAGAGGATTCCACCACAGCCATTTACTTCACCTGAGTATTTTTCCAGGATTGGTGGACAGACTTCTGAACACACGGAGCAGACAAGAGGAGCCGGAACGGGATCAGGAGCTGGAGCAGGAGCCTGGTGAAGGGTCCTTTGTATAAGGTTAGCCAATTCAAACAATTGCTGGTTAGTTTCTCTATGTTGGTTACCCATAACTCTTAATGCTGATTCATGGCATTGAATAAGAGTGTGCTGTTCAGCGATGGTTCTCCTGAACTGACCCAGTGCTTCAGCTGGCTCAGCGTGTTGGCCTGAGTGTTCTGTCAGGTTGGGATCAACTTGCTTGACCCACATGCAAAAACACATACAGGAGAATGAGAATCAGGTAAATACAAGTATCTTTATGAACGTGTGTGGAGAGTTTTCTTGCTGTGGAACCACGGGAGCTGCATCGTCTTTGTTTCGGAGGTGGGTGTGATGAGGATGTTCTGCCGGGGTGGACTGCTTGGTTCACTGGAGCTTTGGTTGCTTGTGTGGGTTAGAGGTGTCCGGTCCAGGTTCTGATGATTTGGGGACTTTGGAGGTCACTGCAGGGAGATGGTGGCAGTATGTTGGAGGGCGAATAGGTAATCGGCAGACTGGAGGATGGAGGAGCGGGTATTGGCCAGTTATGGATGAACAACCAGAGGAATCTTCTTGAGGTGGTCTTTGGTCACCGGACTGAGGGATTCGGGCAACTGTGTGGGTAACTCCCAAGGTCCCATGAGGGAATCAGGCAAACGCTCCAGGCTGGAGAACTGGCTGCCTGCTCCTCTGACGCTCGAGTAGTTGACGCGATTACATGCAGGTGTGCAGGAAACACGCCCTCCAGGCAGCAACCTCCTGGCTCCTTTTGGTGGAAGAACGGCACAAACACACCACAAACACACCACAAACACACCCCACAAAGCCAAGACTCCAGTTTCTAACGACAATAATTTACTCTTAGATTTTTTTTCTGTCTTTGCTGTCCATAGCAGAGTTGACATATCACACTGTAATAAAAAACATGTAGTCAGTGTTTTACAATGACTGATTGATCAAAGTTTATTATCTTTACAATGAAAATCTAAAAATAAAAGGAAATTCAATTTTTTCTTCATATCTTGAAATGTCAAATGTACATTAAATTATGGAGTCATGTAAATATGTTCTTGAATTAAATACTGTGAAAGTATGTGACTGTCCATCGATGTCAATATAAATAAAAGCTAATGATCAGAATCATGTCTATCAAATCAAAACATTTTGCTCGATAATCACATCAAAATGCTGGGGCTTTCTTTGACTACCAAATATATTAGTGTGTGAGAGAGAACGTGTCAGTGACAGGAAGGAATTTAAAATACTTTGTAGATCGGCGCTTTGTGAAGTTCAGTCCATTTCCTTGTATTAACTTACTGGAACATTCAATATGGTGGACACCAACGTTCCCTCTAAGCTGCGCCTGCGCTCTGCTCACATATTCTCAGCGCACAAGAAAATGTAGCGCATAAAATAAAGTCCAACGTAAAGTGGACATTGAGCTCAGACATCAGTTTTGACTATGGACCAATAAATTTTTTCCGTACTACTTTGCGATCGAACTCAGTGAGTGACAGGAATCCAGCCAATGATACGATACGGTTCACTTTCGCTACGTGGGTTACGTGCCTTGGTCATATGGCCGTGCAGGTGAGAATAGAGCGGTAGAGTTAAGAAACGTGAAAGCCATCACCTTATCATGTCTAGTGGGACATCCACTCACCAAGACAGTAAAAAAAAAGAAAAGCACTTCTTCTAAGATCAAATGGAATCAAATCAAATGAAAGGAATGGTCTGCATTTGATACTGAAATGTTGAGTTCAGACTTTTGACTATGGATAAGCAGACATTTGTACACTGGCAAAGAAGTATGAGGCCATTCTCCTCCACCCACAGATTATGGAGGCCATTAACAGTCAATATGCTGAATTCAAGCACATAAAGCAAGAAGCAGACTGACCATCAACCTGGGCTAAGTGAACAACCACTGGAGAAGTGAGAAGGGCAGACATGAAAAAAACTGTCATTAAATATTTTACAAGAATTTATACTGCATCACAAGCTACAGAAAACATTTCATTGTGCAAAATGTGAATGTTTTAATATGAACAAACATTTATGTCTGAAAGGTGTAATGTCTCATTTCTCACCCTGGCTGAAGCAGGACTCTTACTTATAGCATGCATCTCATGAACAGCAATGTTTTCTTTCCTTTATTATTTTAATTGAGCAAATCACTTAAATTAAAAGCAAACAAATGAAAATTGCTGATGTAATTTGATTTTTTTAATAAGCCATGCAACTTTCTATGATCCCAGATTTATGATACTTGTGCCTGATGATGCTCACAGTGGTCCTCAGTGTGTTCAGGAAGCTTGTGTGTACACCCAGACACATGAACAATTAGAGGGAACATTGGTGGACGCTGTGACGTATCGCAGCAATGGAGCGACCCGCTCCATCAGGCGTCTTCGTATTCATGTCTGAGATTCTGCAGAGCTGTAGCCTCTGACTCCTGACCTCTGACCCCACAGAGAATGGCAGGCCGATCATGAGCTGAACTCTGGTTTCCAGGAAGCTGCTGCTGAAAAGCTTTGGATTGTTCTCTGATTTCTGAAAACAGTCTATTCATGTGTGCGCGTGTGTTCAGGTGTGTGTGTCATGACATCATCAGCAAGGTGTTGGGGATGATTGATTTAACAACTCAACATGGACACACACTGTATGTCAAGGCTAATCTATGCTAATTTAATGAGAGGCAACACAAGCTGTTAGCTGCAAGGAAGGAGACACTGTGTGTGTTACTGTGTGTGTGTTACTGTGTGTGTGTGTTACTGTGTGTTACTGTGTGTGTGTTACTGTGTGTGTGTGCAGTGATGCAGGGTTAATAGAATTAGCTGCTTGTAATAAACCCCTCTGATCAAATGATCATTGCTCACACACACACACACACACACACGAGAGAAACACGCAGGAGGTGTGTTGGTGATGAGAAACATGGAGTTGGTGTCCAGTTAAAGAAAGATGACACCAGCAGTCAGAGATCTGTTTAAACTAGAAGTCTGGTGGTTCTGATCCGGTTCTGCTGTGGTTCTGATCCGGTTCTGCTGTGGTTCTGATCCGGTTCTGCTGTGGTTCTGATCCGGTTCTGCTGTGGTTCTGATCCATCAGGACGCTGGTCCTCTGATGGAACCAAAGTTTGTTTCAGAACCAGATTTCTCATCAGAATCCAGCACGGAACCATGGAAACGACCCCTGACCCCTGCAGCTACACTGTAAGTTCTGTCTCAGCAAATATTCATTATCAGGATCAGTCTGATTATTGATCAACACTTTTTCAGCTTTTATTGGTTTTTCATTGATCTACCTGTTTAATTGGCTGCTGATTTATTTCTCTATTAGTTTAATTAATTTGTATTTTAATGAAAATTATAGTTTCTGTAAAATACATCAGGTCTCTGGTAGGGAACAGTTTCAGGCAGGAAACACTCAGGTGTTGTTAGGGTCAAAGGTCAAACAGGTTACTTACAGGTAGTAAGTGTAGGAGTGATAATTTCTTCGTCTGAATGGTGGGGGCGAAGCAGAGGGATGAAATGGAGGGAAAGAAAAAGAAAAACAGAAAGAGGAAAAAAGATTAATGTCTGAAAGAAAAAGCAACAGAAGAACAAATGAGTTCAAATATCAGAGGATTGATTGGCTGGTGGTGTGGGACGCGAAGCTGATTGGCTGGTGATAGTGGTGGGGGCGGGGTCAGCGTTAATGTGTGAGATGGAAACAGTCTGAAAGCAGAGCTAACTTGGATCTGAACAGAAAACCAGGAGCTGAAGGAACAAACTGACGTTGATTTAGTCATCTGGAGCCAGAGGAGTTCCACTGGGCTCTGTCCTCCATCACAACCAGTTCTCCCAGTCCTTCCAGCACCTGAAACCCTTCCTCCACTGGACATCCAAGATGTTCCCTGATTCTCTGTTGGGCCCCAGTCAGTCAAGATGCTGACTGGGCCCCTCCTGTTCCTCAGGCACTACCTCTGGTTTATGCGGCCATAACAGATGCATGAATCAGCCCATAGCATGACACGTCTTGCTAATCTGCAAACAGCAGAGCTAAGTTTTTACAAGAGATGTACAGCTAGCTTTGAAGAAATTTAGCATACTTAGGGTCGCCTAAATTAATTTGCCAGGTAAATTCTAAAGCGCTAATTTACTCAACTGTTTGTAAACTTTCAGTTGGATAAAGTTCAACATCGATGTTGCAGTTTTAGTTATCGATCGTTTACAATTCTTGGAGTGGAGGAACGCGGCCCCGGTTTGGGACCAGACCGAGGCGTCCTGTAGAACTGCCTGTCAGTTCCTGCAGTGATTCCAGTCAAATGAAAACGATCCTTCATTATTTCTGTTCGACTGTTAGCGATCTCTGTTCACAACATCGCTGTTAGCGATATTCCTGTTAGCAATTTCTGTTAATGATATCCCTCTTATGTCAATGTCAAATTTATTTATATAGCACTTTAAAACAGGTATAAAGCTGCACCAAAGTGCTGCACAGGAACAACAGTAACACAAATAGATAAAAACAGAATATCAAAAATTGCTTCAGTTAAAAGCCAACGAATAAAAATGAATTTTGAGAAGCGATTTAAAATGATCCAGGCTGCTAGCAGATCTAATCTGAAAAGGCAAATTGTTCCATAAATTAGGAGCAACAACAGAAAAATCCCGATCTCCTTTCCTTAGTCGGTCCGAGGGACTGGAAGTAAAAGCTGATTGTTTGATCTGAGGGTTCTGGACACAGACTGACATTGTCATGAAACGGTGGTGGAGGTGGTGAGGCAGACGCTAGAGACCCAGGTAAGTTGAATGGCGAGTAATTTAATGAAAAATAATCCACAAAAACAGTCCAAACAGTAGTCCGCGGCCAGGCAGCACGGCTGAGCAGAAGCCCGGGCTCACACCGGTAGCAACTGGTCTTAAGGGCGGCACAGAAAACAACAACGACAATCTGGCTGACAACAAATGTACGACAAGGACCCGACGAGGAACAAAGGACACAGGAGGGACTAAATACACTGAGGGTAATCAGGAGAACAAGACACACCTGGGAACAATCAAGTTGAAGACAGGACAACGAGGAGAACTCAGGACACAGAAACTCAGAATTAAAACACAGAAAAACACAGAACCTGACAGACATTTTAAAAGGTCCTGAAGATAAGGGGGAGCTAACCCATTTAAAACTTCATAAGTTAATAAAAGAATCTTAAAATCTATTCTATACATAACAGGCAGCCAGTGTAAATTGACCAGCTTAGGCCTTATATGGTCATGTTTCCTGGTTCCTGTAAGAAGCCGTGCCGCTGCATTCTGGATGGAAGTCAATCTGTGATTTAACCATGCCACTATATAAAGAATTACAATAATCAAGACGAGTGGTAATGAAGGCATGGATCAGTCCTTCAAAGTCCTAAAACAAAAATAAGATTTGATTTTTGCTAAATCCGTAGGTGATAAAAACTCGATTTAACGACAGAACTAACTTGTTTATCGAGCTTTAAACAGCTATCAAAAGTAAAGCCAAGATTCCTAACTGAGGTCTCACAAAATTGAGCTAAAGAACCCAGAATCTGATCTGGCAGATTGGCCAAATAATATAACTTGAGTTTTTCTTTGATTTAGGTGAAGAAAGTTTTTTCCCATCCAAGATTTAACTTCAGCCAAACAATCTGTCAATAGCTGAAGAGATTCATTATTTCCATTTTTTAGTTTAAGGGGCATATAAATCTGGACGTCATCTACAAAGCAATGAAAGGAAACGTTAAATTTATGAAAAATCTGACCTAGAGGTAATAAATATAAAATGAACAAAATGGGACCTAAAATTGAGCCTTGGGGGACGCCATACTTTAAAGGTTTGGCCCCAGAATAGCATTGGTCAAGATGAACTGTGAAAGTTCTGTTTTCTAAAAAAGATTTGAACATTCAAATACTGGGCCTCTCAGGCCAACACAATGTTTTAATCTGTTTAAAAGAATCTGATGATCAACAGTGTCAAATGCAGCGCTCAGATCTAAAAGTAATAATCTAAGAGATCTCTGTTAGCAATATCTCTGTTAGCAATATCTCCGATAGCGATATTCCTGTCAGCGATTTCTGTTAGAGATATCGTCGTTAGCAATATTTCCGATAACAATATCCCTGTTAGCAATCTCTGTTAGCGATATCTTTGTTAGCGATCTCTGTTAGCAATATCCCTGACATGTAATCATCTGGTTTATGAAGCTTTGTTTTTCTGAACACATCATTTCTCCAAACACCCCAAATGGAAAGATTTCAAGAGTAAACATCAGCTCTGTGCCTGCAGAGCATGCCTCAGACTCTTCCTGTCATCATTTTCTCCACTTATCTGTGATGCTTGTTTGCTAGTTGCTGATTTATTGAAACAGGCACTCTCAGATAAATCTGCAGCTGTGTGAAGGAGACAAAAGGCCGTTTCCAAAAGCTCGCCATCGACATGACAGAGTCCGCTAACGAGGGCCGGATGTTTTTCATGTCAGGAGAGTCTCCTCGCCCTGCAGCATGCAGCCTCCCGCAGTAATGAGTCTAACCTCCGTTTGGTCACAGAGTGGAAATCAAATGCACCCTGTCAACATTAAAAACCTCATTAGAGACCGAACAAGCGCCCCTCGTTTCTGCGTCTCTGTAGCATCAGGAACACAGATCTGATAGACCTGACAGGTGGACCAGACTCACATTGTACCCAAACACTCACACACACACACACACACACACACTCACACACACACACACACACACACACACCACACCCACACACACACCACACACACACACACACACACACACACACACACACACACGCGCGCGCGCGCGTTTCTAGCCTGCAGCCATTCAGCTTCAGGAGACCGAGAAAAAAAACAAAACGTTCTTTCATCTAAATTTCTCTCTAATCTCCAACGTCCTCAAAAAACTGACGCTTTTCTGTGTGTGTGTCCCAGCGGGGCTGTGTGTTTGATGTTGGAGACTAAAGTCAGTCGAGATACAATTTAATGGTGATT